TATTTGTAATATTGTTTTCTTCATAGGGTATTAATATCATTATATTTGGTAGAGGTATATTCATTTCTATACATTCGAGTTTCACCCTAGTGATGTGAAAAAAACACTGGTGAAAAACATATTTCACGACTACTGCATATAGCTGCGAATATCGCGTTTTTCACCGAGTTTTATGCCACTTCACGTAAAACGGGTTGTGAAACTTCATTATAGTGTTTGCCGGATGTGAGGCCTAGCGTGAATAAGCTCTCCGGAATATGCTGATTGGATTTCGCGAATTGTTTTACGCCGGAGTCGGATCGCAGTGCGGTGAGCGGCTGCTGGTAGGAGTTTCTAGATAGCACTTGTTCGTATTCTCGTCACTGTTGTCATCAGGCTCATACGGAGCGTGTGAAGGGGCTGTTGGCGAGGCAAATGAGGACTAGTTTTAAGGGGCAGATGAAGCAATACGAATATGACTTGCGGAAACCTCCGAGGGTTGATTGGGTTTATGTAAGCACCTGCAGTTGCATTTACTGCATTGCAGTGTAGGAAAATATGCGACTACGTGTGCTGGTGACAATATGAAATTGCGAGGGAATTCGGGAAAGTTCTAGTCGAGATTGCATGTGAACTTCCATAATTAGTGGAGAATCTCTTTAGCTGAGCAGAGAAGAGCAAACACTGTGGTACTGTTGAAATGTATTGAATACATTTTTTGAATCTTCTATCTCACCCTAGTTTCGTATATTTGGTTGTCTGTGTGGGAAAATATGCACATGGTCAACTACATGGGTTGGTGAAAAATATGAGAAAATTTTGGGAAATTTTTATTTGGTTGTGGATACTTCTATCCGAATTCGTATATAAATTTCTATAGTTAGTGAGGACTCTCATTACTTCAGCTGATGAAAGCGATCACATATTCCTCCGATGCTGTCAGTCGTACTACATCCTTCTGCCTCTGCTGGTTTGGATTCCCCCCTACTTGCTTCTTAAATTCTTCCCCAAGAAGGAAACCAAGGAAGAGAAGGCTCTGAAGGCACCAGCTGTGTGGCAAGCGAAAGATTCGGTGGTTCCTGAGGAGCCGACGCCGGTGGACGCAGAGCGGGCACGGCTGTTGGCGTGGAAAGTGCAGCAGTTGAGGGGGGTCGATATTGATAGTGTTGAGGAAGAGAGCAAGATTGCAAGAGTTGGAGTGAATAGAAAACTACCACCGCCTGGTGTTGTTGAATTACCCTCTACTGGAGATGGCGGGGTGTGGCGGCGACGACAGGTTATCGATGATGATGAGGAGGAGGAGGATGGGAGCACTACGTGAAAGAGGACTGTTTCTGGACTTATGGAAACGTGGTCGGGTTAGTTCATATTCGAGAGGATTTTACGGGATGGGAAGTAATCATGGTGACGGTCAGTCGTGTACTGCTTTTCCCCCTCCTCCCTGTAGACGGAGCCGTTGGATTGCATAGTCTTCGTTGAGTGGTAGAT